GGCCGGTCAGCTGAGCATTAACCCTTCACACACACACACGGTAGCCACCACTACCTTTTTAGACAGAAATATGCACCATTTGCAGCATCCGTTGTTGAAATTCTGACGTTTAAAAAATATCTGTATCACTCGCTGCCACACCCAGACTGGAATGTAACAGAGTTTACATTACAGTAGCTTCTTCAGAGATCAATGTATCTGGAGGCACTGGATACTTCTCTTCACTCCCCGGGAGGCAACAGAAGGGTAAATATGTGCTGCTGTGGAGAGGAGGAAGTTAATATGATCATGTGATTTGGGTTTAGACATTTTGGGTTTTTGTAACCAGTCATTTGGTGTTTTTATTTTCTTAGATTTGTTTTGCAGCTTTTTCAAACTGGTAGTTTTGCTATTATCGCCCTGATAGTATTTACTACATGTGCATGATGATATGCAAGCTTAGGGATGTGTGTGAGGACTTGGATAAGGTTAGTGTTCTGTTACAGAGTTAGTTTGAGCTGAGAAGGAACAAGAAAAACCGGAAGTTTTCAGCTGGAGGGCTGGAAGTTGGCCGCTCCGCTGCTAAAATGTGGCCTATCATTAGTTGGAAACATAACATGGATATTAAGGAACAGAGCTGGACATTTACCCTATCTCTAAAACTAACCCTATCTCTAACACTAACCCTAATGCTAACTCTAACACTAACCCTGATGCTAACACTAACTCTAATACTAACCCTAATGCCAACTCTAACACTAACCCTGATGCTAACACTAACTCTAATACTAACCCTAATGCTAACTCTAACACTAACCCTGATGCTAACACTAACTCTAATTCTAACGCTAACTCTAATTCTAACGCTAACTCTAATTCTAATGCTAAATCTACCCTAATGCTAACACTAAGCCTAATGCTAACCCTAACTCTAACACTAACCCTAATGCTAACACTATGCTAACTCTAATGCTAACCCTAATGCTAACTCTAACCCTAATGCTAACCCTAACTCTAACACTAACCCTAATACTAACCCTAACTCTAACTAACCGTTATGCTAACCCTAGCTGTATCACTAACCCTGATGCTAACCCTAACTCTAAAACTAACCCTATCTCTAACACTAACCCTAATGCTGACTCTAACACTAACCCTGATGCTAACACTAACTCTAATACTAACCCTAATGCCAACTCTAACACTAACCCTGATGCTAACACTAACTCTAATACTAACCCTAATGCTAACTCTAACACTAACCCTGATGCTAACACTAACTCTAATTCTAACGCTAACTCTAATTCTAACGCTAACTCTAATTCTAATGCTAAATCTAACACTAACCCTAATGCTAACCCTAATGCTAACTCTAACAGTAACCCTAATGCTAACCCTAACTCTAACACTAACCCTAATGCTAACCCTAACTCTAACACTGAGCCTAATGCTAACTCTAACACTAACCCTAATGCTAACACTATGCTAACTCTAATGCTAACCCTAATGCTAACACTGTAACCCTAATGCTAACACTAAGCCTAATGCTAACCCTAACTCTAACACTAACCCTAATGCTAACACTATGCTAACTCTAATGCTAACCCTAATGCTAACTCTAACCCTAATGCTAACCCTAACTCTAACACAAACCCTAATACTAACCCTAACTCTAACTAACCATTATGCTAACCCTAACTCTATAACTAACCCTAATGCTAACCCCTAACTCTAACCCTAATGCTAACACTAAGCCTAATGCTAACCCTAACTCTAACACTAACCCTAATGCTAACACTATGCTAACTCTAATGCTAACCCTAATGCTAACTCTAACCCTAATGCTAACCCTAACTCTAACACTAACCCTAATACTAACCCTAACTCTAACTAACCGTTATGCTAACCCTAGCTGTATCACTAACCCTGATGCTAACCCTAACTCTAACACTAACCCTAACACTAACCCTAATGCTAACCCTAACTCTAACATACTAACCCTAATGCTAACCCTAACTCTATCACTAACCCTTAACACTTACCCTTTGTTTATAAACAAAGTCATGTGATTGTGACACACTGACATGGTGACCACATGACTATGTTGGTAGAGGCTTACTGTGGTAGTATTTAGCCATCAAAGTTAAGTTCGGGAATGCCTCCTCATGCCTGGGGGTGTGACCGTTCAATTTATGTGTGTGATAAATGAAAGAGGATCCCATGATGTGGGATAATGCACAATGTGGATTCCAATGAGAGAAGGAGACAGGTAAAGGACGGAAAGTTCTATATTTTATAGGCTTGATTTCTGTGGGCATGTCAAAAGAGATTGGAGAGTGTTTCTGCATATATTTCCTTTTTTCCGTTCCACACCAAGGGATGTAACTAGTTTGTATGGTTTCAACAACTTAGTCAGTGCCCAGACCACATGTCATCATTCCAACACCTTGGTCAGTGACAAGACCACATGTCATCATTCCAACACCTTGGTCAGTGACCAGACCACATATCATCATTCCAACACCTTGGTCAGTGACAAGACCACATGTCATCATTCCAACACCTTGGTCAGTGACCAGACCACATGTCATCATTCCAACACCTTGGTCAGTGACCAGACCACATATTGTTATTTCAGCACCTTTGTCATTTCATAGTCTATATAAGAGGTAGGCAACCTCAGCACTCCAGATGTGGTGTAACTACAAATGACATTATTGCTCTGTCTCTGGGAGTCATGCCTGTAGCTGTCAGAGTCAGTCACAGGCTTGAGAGTCAGAGTCTCATTAGACTCCTCAACAGCTCGAGTGCTGAGGTTGGCTACTCCTGCTATAGATTGTCCTTTCAGGACCTTGGTCAGCTCCCAGGCCGTATATTATTGCAACTTCTTGGTCCGTTCCCAGACACTACATTGTCATTTCAGCACTTTGGCCAGCTACCAGGCCAAATATCATGAGCTCGGCAGGATAAGGATCCTTATTTTTAGCTGAGTCCAATAAGATTTGTGAATTAAAGTCACCCTTAACCAGTTGACATCCGCGGTGTTAAACCCCCTTCCCATCTAGGCCATTGTTCAGTATTCAGCGCTGCGATACTTTGACTGACATTTATTCCGTCATGCAGCGCTGTACTGAAATGAATTTTATACCCTTTTTTGGGGACAGATAGAGCTTTCTTTTGGTGGTATTTAATCACCACTGCGGGTTTTATTTTTTTACTATATTAAGGAAAAATATAATAT